TATTAGCAGTGAGTAAAATAGCTAAAAAGCTTTGAACGTTCACAAATTATTTTCTTAAGTGTCCATCTCATCCTTAAGTAATGATTCACATAATCTTATTTTGTAACTTAATGCATTTATAGCTGATTTCTTGGTTTGCACTTTAAATTGATTCAATTAGACACTATTAGGAATTATATAAATTAAAAATGTATACTTAAAGGTAAATTATTGCACTTAAGTGATTTTGAGGCAGGGAATGATTATTTGCTAAAGTAACTAAGTGTACACAGGGGAGAGAATTATTGGTATAGAATTGGGGTATTGCACAACACAAATGAATTGAATATCACCGTATGCTAGAGTGTTAATCTACAGGGTGTCCCGAAAGTATGGGCCCCCCCCCCTAGGCAGACATATTCCAGTGTTCTCATAGTATTTGTCATATATCATTTTAAAGTTTATCCAAAGTTACATTGATTTGCCAAGTATCATGGTTTAACTCCCAAATGGGGAAAAGTTACAGTCATTTTAAAAGTAAGTGTTTTGTCAAAATAAAGTTCAATTTTACACCACATTACTAGTCAATGAGTCCCCCTTGGCCATGTTGACAGCAGCAATTATTTTCAGATATGACCTTAAAAGCCCTTGAAATAGGGGTGTGGAATTTTATAACCCTCTTAAAACCTGTTAAGGCACTTTAGAAGAGTTTCCTTAGAATTCCTACCCTCACCATTCTCTTTTTTCACATTTGAGAGTTGAACCATGATACTTGGTGAATCAATGTAACTTTGGATAAGCTTTAAAATGATATATGACACATACTATGACGACACTGGTATATGTCTGCCTAGGGGGGGGGCCCATACTTTCGGGACACCCTGTACATAAGTTGGGTAGGTGAAGAAGTGATATATTGTTTCAGTGTCCAACTTTTTTGTGGACATTGTTCGATGGATGATGTTTGGCTTTCAGCAGTTGGTGTTTGACATTCGGTGGTTGGCATCTGTAACAAATGGCAGGTGGTGACATTTTGCATGTTAATGCCTTGTTTGACTATTAGACATCTGTGTCCTGAAAATACTTATACTAAAATGAGAGGTTTGCATTCAGTGGAAAGAAGATTGTATAAGAAGTAATCATATACAGTAAAAGCTGTCATCGAAGACATATATCATTATGTACAATACCATCCCTGAGATGATGGCACGATTGACATGGCATGACAAATCTCACATACTCCATTCAAAGTGGCTGTTGAAAGTGGATCTGACTGAATATTAAATTGATCAATTCTGAAGCAAAAAGCATTAAATGGTATCTGCCCGCACCAAATTGCAACTGATTCCTACAAAAAGCAACAAAATGGCACCTGCCTGCACCAAATTGCACCTGATCACTACATCGTAAATAACTCTGAGAAATCAGCAGTGGATTGCACATGACTGCACCAAACTGCATTTAGAAGCCAAACTGGATTTGACTGTATTAAATTGTCCCAATTTATTCTGAAGGAAAAGCACCAAAATGGCACCTGCCTGCACCAAATTGCACGTGATCACTACATCGTAAATAAATGACTCTACCAACTGCACTTGATTAGCCAGAGGGGTATTCTAGTTTAATATGCTCTGTTATCTATGAGAATAAGTCACATGCTTTACTCTGCCTTTCAGTATATTACACTCACTCTAAGTGATCAGATTTCCAGGAAAATATTGATTGAAGAAGACCTACCTCAAATACACATTGTAATCAGTTTGTCATGTAACAATATACCTACTAAGATCTCTGTGTTTAGACTATCACATTGAATTATCTTGCTATATCTTAAATGAAGTATTTTATTATGTTGCGTTTTGTTACTTGTAAACCCAGAGATTATTGGTAAAATTCTAAGCAGATCTCTTTTAGAGATGAGAAATCTTTACTCTTTACAAAGGGTAATACTCTGGAGGCCCTGGATTTTTTTCTTATCCCTTATTTTTAGAGTTGTTATTCCTATTATAATATTGTCCTATGCCAATTTTGCACCCACATGGGAAACAATCTTAGGGAGAATATTGTTAGTGGTGACATTTTGCCATTGTCTCCAACTTTTCTGTAGATGGCGTTCGTTAGTCGGTGTTTGGCATTCTGTAAGAAATTGCAGGTGGTGACATTTTGCATGTTAATGCCTAGTAACTGTTGTCATAGTTTCTCCCTTGTTGTTTACATTGCTTTCAGGTAAAATGTTACCAAACTCATCTCTCTCAGATTGATCATCTCCTCTTCCTGGCAAACTTGATTAATTAAAAGTGTGTTTTTCCTTTTCGTTGAGAGTTAAGACATTGATGGTACATAAAGCTGTGCTTTAATTGCTTGTTGTTTTGAACACCAGTTGTATCTGACTTATTAGAGATAATTTATGTCTTGCATTCCAAATACACATTGTTTACGTTTTGATGTCATTTTGAACCCATTTTATGTATTGTTGTAAATTTGAACAATAGTACTCTTGCTCCACCTACCATGTTTTCATGTTGCTATGGTAACCAGACACCTATGTTGCTGGTCAAATTTACTTATTTTTACAGAAAATGAAACTATTATATATGGAGTGGTTGTGGCCAAATATGAACAATATTCATAAAGTATTAAGATTTTTAGACCAAACGGTTCAGAACTTTTGAATCAACCCTCGTACATTGAAGGCTCAGTGATACATCTTGGTCAGGCAATCTTTTATTTATTTATTTCTGAAATGAGTGTGTATTTAAATCATCACAAATCAGTAAAATGTATTGTATAGAAATTCTTTTTTGTATCACCATTCATTAAAAAATGTACAAAATATACATTTATATTGTACAATAGCAATGAATAGAGCATGAGGAAGTGCAATTCAAAATGTGTTCTCATTGGGTACAGTTGCTTTCAATATATCAGCACTTCTTGTATCATTCTAACCCACCTATCTCAGAATGTTTCATCAGATGCATCAGTCAAGAAAATTTCTTGGAAATTATTTGTTAACTTTCCTGGAGTTTTTCATTGAAATGGAGTAGATTCAATAAAAGGGTAACATGCTGGAAAAATAAAAAATTCATTGTTTTAGTGAGTGCAGATGAAATAAATCTCAATAAAAGTCATCAGATATACAAATGCTCTATATAAAAATAAGATAAATGCTCAGTAACTTTCCATTTTTCAAGAAGCATATCATAACTCAATTCAACTATAAAAACAGTTTCAACACTTTTTTTCCACACCTTGGTACCATATGATGTTACTTGATTTCATATCATGTTTTTTCTCAAATCTACCTATAGCCCCCCCCCCAATATTATTACGATACCCTTTTCATGCTACAGCTCAAATATTTATATCTTCTATTTGATCAACTTGTTACCTACACTGAGTCATGAGATGGTAGTTGTTACTATAGATGAAGCTGGAAAGGGTACATATAAACTGATACTGATAAAGATGAATGTTCTGTTGATACATGATGAAGAATTATGAAAAAACTCAAGTATATCTACATGCTTTATCTTCACTATGTTTATTTAGTTGTATGAACAAAGATTTATTGTATCTCAAATATGTGCTCACATAAATTCTTATATAGCTATCGATTGTTATTTTCTGATTATTTGAACACAGATAACGCAGGTTTGTTTCTTAATTGTTGATATCATTGGGGTATCACAAAGTTTGTAACAGATATTGGATTATAGAAATAATATGCTACTTTATTACATTATTTATTAAATTTGAGTGAGTTGTTAACAAAATTATATCCCACATTCAGATCAAGCAAGATCATGGTCAATCGATTGGAACAGTCTGCAAGTCTAACTTAATCTAGATTTATGATCAATATTCATCATAGTCTGTCTATCTGACTCATTTTAATGACATCATTATGTGATATCTTCTCCAAACCCAGAAATGCAGTGTGCGTTCAGTATATATTGAGGTTATTTACTGAAGTAGTATGGGATAATGGGACAATCCAGTTTATTATCCAGTCTCTAATCAGAATCAAGTGTTCAATCAGAATCAAGTGTTCAGTCAGAATCAAGTGTTCAATCAGAATCAAGTGTTCAGTCAGAATCAAGTGTTCAATCAGAATCAAGTATTCACTTAGAATCATGTGTTCAATCAAAATCAAGTATTCACTTAGAATCATGTGTTCAATCAAAATCAAGTGTTCACTTAGAATCAAGTGTTCACTTAGAATCAAGTGTTCAATCAGTATCAAGTGTTCAGTCTGAATCAAGCTTTCAATCAGAATCAAGTGTTCACTTAGAATCAAGTGTTCATTTAGAATCAAGTGTTCCATCAGAATCAAGTGTTCACTTAGAATCAAGTGTTCAGTCAGAATCAAGTGTTCAATCAGGATCAAGTATTCACTTAGAATCATGTGTTCAATCAAAATCATGTATTTCATCTGAGGTAGGTGGATTTACAAATGTGTATTGTTTGTTAATTTGCTCCTATTGCTTTTTACAAGGGCATGTGTTAACATGATTACTATGTAGTTATTTTAGGATTTTAATGAAAAATAATACCTGGAAAAGAAGAAATAAAGTATTTACTAATTGCAAATACTTATTTTAGGAATTCCTGGATATATCTCACATTTAATTACATCTTTGCATTAGTGTATATTATCAAAAGTGGGTTTAATTGCTTATAAAACATTTATTTGGGAAATTAATCAAAAATGGGTTAATTTCAGCTGGAAGGAGTGCTTTATTACAAATCTACATTAGTGTTTATTAAAACACATGGGATTAATTACTAATAAAATATATATTTATGCCATTTCTACATCCAGTATGAATTCTATATGTAGGTGTGTTTATGAGATGTAAAATCTCCAATTAAAGCAGTAGATCGGGTGTGAAGGGTCACGGGAGGGATGGTATCAAAATTTTTTAAGTTTAATATATATCCAAGTTTAAGTTATGGTAAGTTAGGTCCAATATATTTATAAATGTGAGCTCTACCAGTTTGATATATAAATATTAAAGATGAATCAGTATTTTCATAATACTTCTAGGAGGTATGTAAGCACACATTTTGTTTTTCCAATTTGTTGTTTTATTGTGTTTCCTGCTTTTGCCTTTTTTGCATTAGTTTGATACTTGAGACCTTCCCAAGGTTCCTGGTTTAACCCTGGGATGAGAGACGTTTGTTTATGTGGAGAGTGTCCTCAGGCTATTTATCTACCTACTGATTAATAAGTCAGATTTCACCACTTTCCTGTGCCTACTTGTACTGACCTATACTTAAGTATACCCACTTGTACCTACATCTACTTACCTGTTTTTACCTTTGCTCACCTCTACTTGCCTGCAGTAACCTGTACCTACCTCTACTTAATTGCATATATACCTCTACTTGGTTTAACCTGTACTTACCTGCATTTACCTGTACATACCTTTACTTACCTGCATTTACCTGTACCTACCTCTACTACCTGTACCTACCTCTACTTACCTGCATTAACCTGTACCTACCTCTACTTACCTGCTTTACATGTACCTGCCTTTACTTACCTGCATTACATGTACCTGCCTTTACTTACCTGCATTAAACTTTGCCCACCTCTACTTACCTGCATTAACTTGTACCTACCTCTACTTACCTTTGCCCACCTCTACTTACCTGCATTTACCTGTACCTACCTCTACTTACCTGCATTTACCTCGACCTACCTCTACTTACCTGCATTACATGTACCTGCCTTTACTTACCTGCATTAAACTTTGCCCACCTCTACTTACCTGCATTAACCTTTGCCCACCTCTACTTACCAGCATTTACCTGTATCTACCTCTACTTACCTGCATTAACCTTTGCTCACCTCTACTTACCTTCATTCACCTGTACATACTTCTACTTACCTGCATTAACCTTTGCCTGCCTCTACTTACCTGCATCACCTGTACCTACCTCTACTTACCTGCATTAATCTTTGCTTACCTCTACTTACCTGCATTACCTCTACCTACCTGCATTGACCTTTGCCCATGTCTACTTACCTGCATTAACCTGTACCTACATTTACTTACCTGCATTAACCTGTACCTACCTCTACCTACCTGCATTGACCTTTGCCCACCTCTACTTACCTGCATTAACTTGTACATACCTCTACTTACCTGCATTAACCTTTGCCCACCTCTAATTACCTGCATTAACCTGAACCTACCTCTACTTACCTGTATTAACCTGTACCTACCTCTCTACTTACCTGCATTAACGTTTGCCCACCTCTACTTACCTGTATTAACCTGTACCTACTTCTACTTACCTGTATTAACCTGTACCTACCTCTCTACTTACCTGCATTAACGTTTGCCCACCTCTACTTACCTGTATTAACCTGTACCCACCTCTACTTACCTGCATTAACTTGTACCTACCTCTACTTACCTTTGCCCACCTCTACTTACCTGCATTACCTGTACCTACCTCTACTTACCTGCATTTACCTGTACCTACCTCTACTTACCTGCATTTACCTGTACCTACCTTTAATTACCTGCATTAACCTTTGCCCACCTCTACTTACGTGCATTAACCTGAACATACCTCTACTTACCTTTGCCCACCTATACTTACCTGCATTTACCTGAACATACCTCTACTTACCTGTACAAATTTAATGAAGTTTTAATAACACACTTTTTACCTTAGAAATAAATGTCTTTAGAATGATGCCAGCTGTTAGATAAAGTAAGTTTTTCCTATCATATAGTCTCTTTTTGATGGTTCTAACTGTGGTTATCATTTAATTATGTGATTTAGTTGATTAAACATCAACCACACTCAGCTGATGCACTAGGCCAGACTGAATTATTGTGCTTAGTCTTAGAAATCTTCCTCTGGCACTACAGCCTAGCAGAGACACAAATCATGTATTGACTATGAGAAATTAGTCCGCACCAATTTAATTTGATTACACTACACTTTTTTTTACTGTCATAAAGAAACTACTTGTTTAATACAACCTACAATACAAGTATTAATTTGTGAATGTTCATGGTTGTTAATTGTTTTTAATTGAAATATTGAAAATCCTTTATATCTAAAAGGTTAAACTCTAAGAGGTTATGTCACTATCATGCTCACTTTCCCATTGACTTCCATACAAATGCTTCGCTTGGTATGTAATACTGAAAGATATATACATAATGTAAATATAATAAAATGCAGTTCCTTGTAAAGTAAACTGCAACACCAACAGGTTTAAAGTAAGGTATCACACCAATTAGTTAAAAGTAAATTAACACCAACTAGTTTAAAGTAAGCCCACACCAACTTGTATAAAGTAAACTGTAACACCAACTTGTTTGAACTAAGCTTCAACACCAATTAGTGTAAAGTAAACTGTAACAGTCTAAAGTAAGCTTGGTAAGGCTACATTGTTAGCAGGAGTAGAAGAAGGTCATTTTTCCAAATTTTGGGAATTATGACTCCTGCAATCTGATTATCTTCTCCATCCTTATGTTGCTGTGACAAAAATTGTTAACAGTAAAATTTCAGGGAGCTTCTGATATTTTCCAGAAACATCATAAAGTTAAGTTACGGATCCGCAAATCAGTTTTTTATTTGTATTTACTCCATTAATCTAATTAATTTGGTTGCTGATCCATAACTTTTTGATCTTGGGAGGAACTGGCCCCTGGGAATGATGGGGGTCGGGATGTGTTGATTTTGGCAAAGTTTACTGATTATGTTCTTATTATCAACAGACTTATTTCTGTATATAAGGGAATATATCGGGGAAATTGATTTACAATAAAATGTTATCGCTTAATTACTTTTGTTATAGATATTTTGACATATCCCTGACGTCGGTAAAATAAGGTCATTCTTCAGGACAAATAAAAAATTAAATCTCGATTTCTCTTTAACCTAAATATGAAAGCGAATTTGTATTCGCATGAAGTGTGAAAACAAGATTAAAGCAATCAACTCTGGCCAAAAAATCAGCAGATCCTCAAAGGGGTTGTTAATTTGAAACTCCGTGATTGAACTCATTGCTGAATTCTACTGGAAGTTTCAAATGAAGCATAAATGATAAAATCAAGGACACATCTGTATCTAAATATCCCAAAAGAATAGAGTAAAGGCGTCGTTAGTTAAAAATAAAATATGATTTCTTCAATTCCAGATGGGCATCATTTTCTTTATATTTATCCCTGTCTTGATCAGTAGTTCTTGATCTAACAAGGTTCTTTCTATAAACAAAAGGATACACAGTGGTAGAACACTGTGATTGATGTAGACCCAAATAAAAGCAGATAGCACTCTACCGGGACTGAATATTTACGCTATCTCATAATGATACACATGATATTTCTTGTGTGCCAGATAAATCAAATTCCCACTAGGATCAGTTAAAGTAAAGCATTGGTGCATCAATTCACACTATAGGAGTAACAGGGCTATGGGACTTGAATTCCCAAAATGACTAGATTTGTGTAAGGAATAGATCGCCAGTCCCACTTGGCCTACTTGGTATGCACAAGGCTTCCACTGTCAATTTCATCCTAAGAGACACAACACGTACATATTGAATCTCTAGTGATCTCGTAATCTACTTACACTTAACCTCTTTTTGGATTGACCATCAAAGAACGTGACTCTGATTTGATCTTGAAATTTTTGGTGGTAAATGGCATGCTTAGTAGTCAGTGTGCTTTAAATATTTATGATTTTGAATGAATAAATTTTGGCACAAAATATGATAACATATATTCTCCCCAGCATAAAAGAAGAACTATGCTTCACTTGTTTGACATTTTGAAAAGAGGTTTGGATCAATCTAAAAACCAATGTGCATCTACTTGAAAATTGAAAAACAGAAAAATTGGCCCATTTTGAACAAATACAGTCTGTACTGTGAAAAGTTTAATCCACCAACTTCACTGGTGATCCACTCCACTACACTGGTTACCAAAAAGATATATATGAGTGAAAACTCAAACGTGATACTTTGAATGCACATTTACAGTCCATATTAGAATGCTAATTATAGTGATTAGTGATCTCCTACTTGTCTGTCTGTATGTCTATCTGTCTGTCAATACATTTTTTACAGGCACATACAGCTCAGTTAATAAATTAGCAGTATTATTTTAAAAGGTTTTAGCAAAAATTCTTGAAAAAACTTCTGCCGTTGTTATTGAAAGCACTTTGATTTAAACATTGGTTATACTATAACCTGCATTTACCTAATATGGTATCAATCTCATTTCCAGGGCTAAAGTTAATATGACATAAAAGTGCAGAATTTTTTTAGCCTGGAGAATGTGTTTTTTCAGGAATTCAATTTTGATTGATCTGCTTTCCTGCTCTTTGGTACACCACATGTAACCATTGGTTTTTAATTAATCTGGAATACTTACAAGTTCATCTAGTTTCAATAACCCATCCCCTGGTCTATATTAGAGCTAAATATAGATAAAAATCTATTTAGAGTCCCTAGAGCATGATTTTGGTTTGGATCAAAACATCATTAAAAATTGATTGAAATAAATCTTCCAATGTTGGGGTCCTTTTGGCTAGAATATGAGTATGGTTTGTAGTTTGGTTGCTATGCCCTTCAGTTTGAAATAAGAAATATGATAAATGTTCAATATTATTAAGACATTACCTTTGACCTATAAATACATTACTTCATAATTATATTTAAACCTGTGTAAGAGGCAATGCCCTTGATACCTCAAAATAATTATTCTACTTATTGAGGTGAGGTGTTCTACTTACAGAGGTGTTCTAATTACACAGGTGTTCTACTTACAGAGGTGTTCTAATTACACAGGTGTTCTACTTACACAGGTGTTCTGCTTTAAAGATGTTATTATTTTTTTCTGTTATTTCTGTTTGTCACCACCACAATTGGTAACAATTGTTATTGTCTCTTAACTTGTTTTGGATGGTGTTTGGTGGTGGTTAGTATTTGAAACAAATGGAAGGTAGTAACATTTTGTATGCTAATGCCTTGTTTTTGAATATAGTGGCATTCCATAGGCTGACCTGGTGAATTTACCATGTTAAAATCTAAGGAGCTTGAATGAATTGGAACTTTAAATGGGAGAATATTTTATGTGAAAGTTTAAGTGATATCTTTGTTGTGAGAATATGTTGTTTGTAGGACACTGAAAATAACATAATACAATTGCATTTTACACCATTGTGGAAAGGATTGGTATCAATATGGTGAACTGAATTCAACATTGTTTTTCTTTTAAACCAATTATTGAAAACATTCTGTAAAAAGACATGGTCCTTGATGTAATTGTAAGAAAAACATGTGTTCAATTCAGTTCACCATACCGATACCAATCCTTTCAATAATTTCTATCATATATTTTGAAAGATCATCTGAAAAATGCTCATCTATTGAGTTCAAGTAGCTCGACAAGTTCCAAATGGGAATTCAAGCTTTCAAATTTTCAATTTTGAAGTTAATATGTTTAAATGTGACAATTTGATTTTTTCCTCTAGCCCTCAGGAAATTTCATATTGTCCCTCGGAATAAAACCCATATTCAATCCCTTCAAGTAAATGACCTCTATATTCTATATAAGTGATTTAAAACTATAATATTTAGTACCTTAATGGTTTGCTGACATTGAACCAATAAGTATTCATGTATTCAAATATTCAAGTATTCATGTATCATTGTATGTCTATATACGATTTAAATATGGAAATAAAATAACCTTAAAAAACAAAACAATAAGGTTGGTTATCCACCAGTTATAATGTTCTCTGTCAGTTGTTGACAAGATTTATGATTATTTAATCCATAAATTCCTTTCTTTATTTCATTTACTAAGAGATTTAGAAAGCTGCTAAATAGATAATTTTGACAAACATGACATGTTGTGTGATAATTATGATGTAAATATACGTTTTACACATTAACAAGAGGCGTAAATTATTTCTATGACGATACACCACATTTAGGATCTCAAGGGACCATTGAATTAGTTCCCTGAAATGCAATAAAATAAAAATGTGAAGAATATAATAGATTGATTATATACAAATGTTCATATCTGTCTTTAGACCATGATATCAGTGAAATCATATCATTGAAATATACCATATGCTATATCATGAGAGAGACTGAATATGTTTTATTCCAAGAATAAATTCCTGGGGGATCTATGAATTATTTTTTAGAAATGAACTATTCACTCTTTTGCCTGACCGTCTACAAGTACCATTTATATTGAAAATTAGAAGACTTCCTCTTATGCCATCTTTTAATATTTATTTTCCAGTGTAAATGGCCGCTCATTTACAAGATCACGCACATTACCCACAATCCCAGTAGACAAGTTCCTGCCACAGGACAGCCCCAACAGTAACAACGGGAACCCATCTCCAGTCTTAGGCAAACCACCTACTCCTGGAGTTGCTAAAATTATTGCAGGTAATTTGAAAATTTAACATTAAGTATAGTTAGAAAGAAATTAAACTTCCAGTTTCTGGTAAATTTTTTTAAATTATTGCTGTTATCTGTTAGTAAAAGCACAGAAGGACCTTAGTATGACCCTACTCTACCGTTCTTGAACATAGAAATAGCGGGGGAAGGCAGATACATCTGTAAGATAAAAGAAACAAAAACACAAACTGAATAATACTGAGTAAATTAAATTGTTCCATCACTGCCCTCCTTTCAATCATATGATGGTTCAAGATATAAGAAAGCAACAATAATTTTTAAAACTCAACAAAATATATTTTGAATTTTAATCTAATGAATTTTAGAAAAGAAGAGCAAAAATGTTCAGTGGAGTCCGGATCTGAGCAACCACCGTCCACGAAGTCATAGCGCTGCAGGTCTAGGACGTCGCAGATTGATACCCCGCCACCCCCACCCACAGAAAAAAGGTATATTTTTGAATATTTTTGCCTAGTTGTTGTCTACTTGTATGTTTGAAATGCTAGTATTCAGCAACTTGAAATAGTAGATTGACCGACTCCATTTATGTTTTTGTTTTATTAACCCATTGAAAGATGGCATCATTGTAGGAGATTGCATTTAGGTCCTATGGAAAGGAGCAATGGTTACTTGAAAATGGACAGTAAAACCTGTTTTATCTAAAAAGTGTTTGGATTTACAGGTGTTCATATTTCAAGTTTTTTTAACATGGGAGTCAATGAGAGGCTCGTGTCAATGCCATTCAGACCTGCAGGTTTTATTGTATTTTGGTTTTTATTATAAACTGATTTAAAATTCTATGAGCAGTTTATGTTAACATAAAAAGTAAAGGCTCATGGGCTGCATGGCAAGTAGCAACATTCTCTCATTCAGCTAATATACATGCGCAAGTCCTGAATATAAATCTAATTGTATAATTTTCTAGATCTGAAATAAAATAGAGCTAATACGAATAAACAAAGTATAGCATGGACAGACATGTGTTTTACATCCTTATATGTATGAAAATACCAGAAAACCTGATGTTTCATTCAAATTTTGAAGAGAATTTTCAAGGAACAAAAATGAAGAGATAGACGTTGAATCCCAAGTTGTATATTAGCAAGGGTGTAAAATGCCACAGCTCTAATTAATGAATGACCCTTCCTGGAATTTCTACAGCTTTTAATTAGATTGGGAAGATGCCATTGTTTACCTAATACAGTCTCTTAAAGGATAACAATTGCCTTGGAAGAGACAATATAATTGAAGGTTATGAGCAGTAATGTTAAGATATGGGAGCTTAATTGCTCCTATATAGTCATGGAGAATAGTCATAGAGAAACATTCTCATGTATTTATCTAAACATGAAGATAAATTACACACAGTCATGAGATTTTATCCAGGGACCTTTTTCCAAGATTACATATTTTTTTCAAATTCCATATTTTCAGAAACCATACTTCTTTCAGAGACCATTCATCTTCAGATACCATTCTCTTTCCAGAGACTATTCTTATTAGGGTATTAAAGATGTGTTGAAACGGAAAAGTTCCTTGCTGGTTGCATGATTTTGTAGTTCTAAGTAGCAAAATCGCATAAGCCACATACATGTACTCATTGATCAGTTTTATTCCAAAGGATGTTATAACTACTTCTTGATATAGACTTTAAAAATATATCATTGATGAAGTTCATCTAGTTTTTCAAAGAAATCAGACATTTTTGATTCTGATTAATAGAGTGTCGTAATTATGTAACATTGTTGATTTTAACGCTCAATCGCGACACTCCACGAGAGCAGATCCAAAGCTTAATGATACAAGATAAATAAGTTAGCGTATCTATCCATGCAATTTTTTCCTTGAACTATCCATGTTCATTTTTAGCAAGTACTTCATCCATTCATCAATCATACTTTGACATCTTTGGGAATATACTAGGGAGTAGTAATTTTCAGCTCCTTACAGTTATACAAGCGCAATGACAGAAGGGAAAAAATATAAATGGAACACTGAAATAGACAACCAGTTACATGGAAACAAATCCCACTTAGTAAGATGATCATCATATGTGGGAAGAAATAGTGTCAATGACCCCCTTCATTCTATTATGACTCTTTGATTAAAGTATAAGGTAACCGCACACTTTATTGTCACATCGAGAATCTGAAGTCTGTGTCCTCTGCAAGATCTTTCCAACTCTTAAATTGCAATATCAGAATATTAAACGTCGGAAAGTTGTAGATGGGAGTTCTATTTTTCAGATTTTTACAAAAATATTGGAAAAATATTAAATATTGGGACTACATTAAATATCAAAAAGTCATATTGAACCTTGCTGGTCAAGAAGCATCAATAGTTACATTCACTCTTACAAATATGTTCCTAAATTTACAGGGTGGGTCAAGAATGGTATCATTTTTTATGTAGCTGTATCTTGTTTAAATTGCCTGAATTTCAGGAACTTTTTTTTGAAATGCAGCATCCAATTGTATAATTATGTCCAAAATCTCTGGGTATTTTTATAACAATCATTTATATGGGATGTAAATGCAAATTTACAGGGGTGCAATTATTAACAAAATGTGGATGTTTTTGGCCCACTCTGTATTAGTGGTGTCAATTAACCGCTTGAGCATTAACCGGTTAACCGGGGGGTTTTACCGGTTAAAGTCGGTTAACCGGCGGGAAATTTGAACTTATAATTTCAAATGAAATCTTCATCTTCGATCTTGAAAGTTGAAAAAATTGGAAAAATGATATATCGGCGTTTATTTTTTACGTTCGTCAAGCTTTACGCTATTCTATGTAAGTAAGCGCGGGAAAGCAATGTGGCAGGGATTAAAGTTGCTGATTGGATGTTTGTAAGGAATTATCGGACCTATCACATGTATGAGTAGCTCACATGAAACTGACGCTTGGAAAACAAACAGATTAAAATGCAAAGTAAGCGCGGGTAAGCAACGTGGCAGGGATTAAAGTTGCTAATTGGATGTTTGTAAGGAGTTCTCGAACTTATGACATGTATGAGTAGCTCACATGAAACTGACGCTTGGAAAACAAACAGATTAAAATGCAAAGTAAGCGCGGGAAAGCAACGTGGCAGGGATTAAAGTTGCTGATTGGATGTTTGTAAGGAGTTATGGGACTTATGACATGTATGAGTAGCTTACGTGAAACGGACACCATAAAACCAAACGGATTAGCATGCAAAATAAGCGCGGGAAATAACAGAATTATACACGGTCAACTAACCGCCCATAAAAACTCAGACCGGTCAAGCCATTATCGGCGGTTAACCGGTTAACCGGTTAATACTTGACACCTCTACTCTGTATATATATACTGTACAAGTACATACCTTATTATTGGATATAGTTTATTGGGATTACATGAGACACTATTCTAAATAAATAATAAAGAAATCAGTTGATTTATTTGAAGAATATGTATAATGTATAATAATGTTTTTTTATTGGAGGGACTTTCTAATTCCATGGATGTATGAAGGTATTGTAACTGTCAACTTATGTACTCAGCTACTATTTTTGTTCTGCTCCCTTGTATCTTATGATCCCTGCCTGGACTGAAAGTACAATTTCAATTTTACAAATGTTTTCTGCTACAGGTTTTCTCTTTGTAAATGAATACATTTATTACATGATTTAGAGTAGGCACTTGATTTATGTTAACTATAGTCCTTGCTAATTTATCTCTGTTTATTGTACTCTGCTTAAGACCTTGTATTTTGAAATTTCCATGTAATGGGATTTCATATGGGGGCATGTACTTAATGAGCTCACTACTGTCACCTTGGCGATTATTTCATCTAATCACTAGCTTCAGAAGGTTAATTAAGGTACTCCATCCATTTTCATTTATATCTGAAAACCCATTTTGAGCTGCTCTCATTGCCATTTTTGAAATGCAACAAGTCATAAGTCTGAAAACCATTGGATTAAAACGTACATGATTTTATCGAGGTATTATCGCTTATGAATGGTCGATCATGGCTTGGAAGTGGTCCCACCTAGAAAAATAGCTTACTTCAATGAAGATGTTATTGTACTGCTTTGAAACCACATCGCTCCCAAGGGAGTGTTCAACTCTATTGTAAGTTCAATAGCCTAAGCTCTCCCTTAGAAAGATTAGATCTCTCACAAGCATTAGATAAAGAGAGATTCTGATAATTCAGATTGCTTAAAACTCATTGTGATACTCATCACATTTTTCTCTTTCGTAAGTGGCAAATGTCCCAGAAAGGAACTGATGGAAGGCTGTGATCTCCACTGTTGGTAGGTTCTAGGCATTGTCTTGCATGTTTTTCATTTAAGTGTTCTTGACAATGATGGTTGCATGTGTAGGTGGTTGAACAATGGCTAATGAATTATATGTGGGAGATTCCTTCTTTTTGAAGTCAATTTAGTAACCTGTAATTGAAACTCTTTTGATTGTCTGTTGAAGGAGCAGTCATTCAACTTTCAACATAAGTATCATTGTACCTGATAACTGTGACCATATTTAGCAAATTGTCTCTTCAAGGAGGAGTCATTCAACTTTCAACATGTCTCAAATAACTAAATCCTTGAAGTACAAGAGAATAATTGTAGATGTAGACTCGATATAGATCCCTAGTTTGTTTTTATCACGACAGAGCAATGCTCTTCAGATCATTAACATCATTCAAAATGGCATAGATGTGTGCCCTGTAGTAAACATCAAACATATATCAAAATACAAATATGGCAAATTTACTTTCGTTGTACTAAATATGAATTGTGATACACCTGAAAGGGCTCATTCTCTAACTCTGTTCCCCAATTTAATCAATCAGAACTCTGAACTTTGCACCAACAACAGATTTTGTTGCAAGTTGTCTTTTCTGTAAATACAAAAAAAATCTTGCCTAGTAAGCTACATGACAAGTGCTTATTACTAAGGTCCACATGCAATTTTCCAAACTAATACTTACAGCAAAGAATAACAATATGAAAGTCTTTAAGTTTTAGAATATTTTGATTTTTTATTTATTGGTGTACTTTAGGATCAAAGACAAGAACTGGGTCTTAGAAGTGTTTGTCACCTTGGGCAATTGAAATCAAAGACATGGATGTTAATTAAAGAATAAAGAATCATGTATCATGCTATATTGCAAATATAAAAGCATGAGTGTAGTAACCCATACTCATAATGCACGAAGGTGAAGCCTGAGTGCATTATCAAAATGGGTTAGTTCATACATGAATGCCTTTATATTTCCAATATAGCATGATACCTGATTCTTTATTGTGATTCAAACATGTCTCTGGTCAATGATGAAGTAGAACAGTTCACCAATTTACATCTACAAGATTGTTGTCTTTGAAGAAATTAAGTTTTTGGACAAGTTTATTATTTAGAAATACTAAATAGGGGTGTTGGGTTACAATTGATATTCATTTAAAAACTACTGAGACAGTTTTGTTTG